GAAATCACGGTCTCATTGAGGAATAAAGAGATTTGGTTGAGGAAGATCACAAAACCACCCTCTTCATTTGCATTCATCGGTACGTAGTCGATTGTCGCAGTAATTCCACAACAGTAGGCAATCGTTTACAATGGATACATGTATATTATCTGAATCTGTAAATCCTAGTAATTTAGCATGATGTTGATTCTAGGATTTAATTTATATTTGGATCTAATTTGATTTTTTAACAACCAATCCCAATTACAATTTTCTTTCGCCCACTCTTGAAATGTCATTCCTGATCTGAAGCAAGGATGTGAAAACTCTTTAAAGAATGAATTCAAACCTTGAAGGACAATTTTTGGAGTCCGATCTTAAGAGGCCATGCAGTACAAAGTGTGGACCCATCCAAAGTAATTAGAGATGCTTAATTATTAAAAACTTATACATGTGGGTTGAGGTAGGAACACATATCTTACCCTGTCAAAACAGCCAAAGTCGCATCGTTTGGAAACATCATTAGGAGTAAGCTGAAGGAATGTTCTCAAGTGACATCAGCAACCCCTTGATAATCAATTTGAGCCATAAATGTCATCCCTGACGTCAGTGTGGTCGTGCTCACCAATCTGAAGAAAGTACTGATTGCTCATATTGCAAACAATGATGACCTAGGTCTCATGATTGTTTGATTTGATTGAACTTCTCAACCAATGAAATCGCTCAAACATGGTAATGGCAATCAACTCGAGGGCATGCACTGTAGCTTTACAAGACGATGACGGCTAGTCCTTATCTAGAAGCCCATGTAATGAAGCAAATGCAAAACTAAAAGGGTCATATTCAACACTCTCTTTACATTATATTACCAAACCCCGCTCAATAGAAATTCAAATATTTCAGCTACTAAATACTATTATCATCCCAAATATCTCTTAATTTGATATGAAATCATCACATCGGTTTTAGTCTTCGACAAAGCTCATCCTCCATCAATTAAAACTCTAAAAATAGATTGAGTACATAACATAATTAATCCTGTAACAGTCTAGAACAATTTACAATTACAACACACGAACCATTGCACTAAAACAACAATACACAAGATAACCATCCGTAAAGGAAACGACATGTGTAGCATTTTATCAAATATTAAACAACCATAATATCCCAAAGAAAATTACACACATTAATCGATCAAGGCATGACCACAAAAACATCCCAAAACATGATGGATTATAACCCACAATAGGAAGACCCCAAAACCTATCCAATGAAACTTCATCGTTCTCCGCATCTTCAATTCCTCAATGCTGTAATTATTTGCCTTATTCAGCAACCCATTGATTATTTTCTTATATCATGATGAGTAGGTGGATTTACCTAACATGCATATTTGACATAAAAGATGCATATACCAACCTTCTGCCTTGATTTTTTTCAGTTCATAAAGTCATCATAACAAAGAATGTCCACAAGAGATATATAATGGCAAAAGAATTCTCCATTGCGAATACTATATTATGAATTGGGAAATGGTTATGATTTTTCTTGGTAGAATTGGTAATAAGTTGGCTCTGATTTGGGAGTTTCAATAAGTCATGTTTCTCAAAATTCAAACGATCCCATTCATGTGAAAACTTGTGTTTTCATACCAGCCTTTTTGCCGTGTTGGATGGATTTAATGTCATTTATTTGCCACATGCAATTTCCATTCGTTAAGTGAAATTTGTCGTCAAACTTCCTAACAAATTATGAATGAGAAAGATTTTTATAAATGAACCAGCATTGAGATAATTCTTTTAGTTGAGTGAATCAATAACAACCCGAGAAAAGTTTAGTGATCATTCGTTTAACTAATCGTTTAAAGATTGGTACCTAGCCTCTAACTTGATACCTAGTGTAACAACTACTACTTTTTTGACTTATTTATTTTACATATACCTACATATGTACCTACCTATATATAGGTTGTTTTCAAGAGATGGAAGATAGAAAGTAAAAAACACAACTAAATTTTCACTTCATGCCACTTTTTCATAGAGTACATTACATAGTTGAAGCCACCTCCAAAATTAACTCATAATTTAGACATATGATTTATATTTCACCCAAAGACGAAGGAGAATGAGTAGTAGCATATAAAGTTGTTAATTCAAACGTAACAAAATGGACGACTTTCTTTTTCCCTCTTTTTACATTCTTATCAAGCGTATATACAAAAGTGTCTTCCATTTTCTTGTATTACGTAATATTGATCTCCATTGCGATCATATTGTTAGTTATGGTGCTATAATAGTAACGGTAACCATTTGAAGATACGTGTCCACCTTCCCCAAATACTATGATCATATCACAAGAACTGATGTCCAATGGAACTCTTCACCATTGCGAGTAATGGTCTAATTATCCTATGTATACCCTATGCACTACGTGTCAATGTTACCTAAATAGAATAGGGAAAAATGGGAATGAGAATAACAACTCAATGAGTAAAATATGGCATCTATACGCCCGAGCTTGCTTTAATTAAATGCAACTATGGCAAAAACTCTTTCACNAAAAAAAAAAATCACTTTTTTATAAAATCTATTTTTAAAAAAATAGGGCTCAAACAGGTTGTTCAAATTCGCTCATTTATCTATTTAACAAACATATTGTATCAATGTAACTGCAGCATGACAAATACTAATTACCACCCAACTAATATTTAATTAGCCACTGAACTCAATTGAACTGTCCCTCAGAGTTGGCGAAAGACCTATATACCATTAATATTCCAAGTTATTATTACCATTAATATTCCAAGTTACTATTAGGGTCAAATAGGTTTTATAAAAAAAAAAAAAAGATATGTTTTTTGAATTTTTTTTTATTTTTTATTTTTTATTTTTTTTTCCTTTTTTGGAATCTAGGTTGTGTCAAACAAAATGTCAATATGTACAAATGTAGGAGTGGGCATTTTTTCTTGAAATCGGACCAGAACTGTTTAGAACCGGCTGGTTCGATTCCAGTTCTTCTAAAAAATAATTTGGTTTCAAGACAAATTATTAAGAACCGATCGATTTCGGTCCGGTTCTTGGTTCTAGTATGGAAACCGCGGGGAACCGAACAGTTCTCATAGAATTTTTTTTAGTGGGCATTTTTTTCTTTTTTGGTAAAATATAAGACTTACTCTCCAATTTGTCCTGAAACCAAATTGGTAATATAAATGACTTACTCTTAAAGTGAAAAGAAACTTCCATCAAAGTAAAATAAAATTGTAATATAACAACATAAGCAAAAGGCAGTGACATATGGAAATGAAACGAATGTTTATGTGTATAGTTTATATGTCACTTTTTAATTAAATAATTGAGAAAAATACTGAACTGTGATTACCTGAAGGCTCAAGAAAATGTTAAAAAGGAACCCTTCAGTTGGTATTTTTTTCAGTAAAATATATGACTTACTCTCCAAATACTTTTATTTTGTTTTCATTTTGATAAAAGTTTGTTTAATCATTGAAGTACTAGACGGTTTATATAAGTTAATATTTGTTTGATAATAGTAACTTATATTATTTGGATATTGTCTTAAAATTTGTATACTTACTTTTCTTTTAATCTTTGTATAATATGTTCGGTTCTTCTATATTTTTTTAAAAGTATCACATTAGTAGTTTCTTTAGATTTTTTATTAGTAAACAATTTATTTTGATATCTTTATGTAAAGGACCAGATCGGACCGAACCTTTGGTTCCATAGCTAACAATGGAACCAATGGTTCCATTTCTAAAATTCTCATTGGTATTCGGTTCGGTTCCTTTTAGAACGGACCGCGCCCACTCTTGGACAAATGTAACGAAATCAAAGACGTGAAGATAGATAAAAAAAAAAAAAAAAAAAAAAAAAAAGAGACTTGAAGATAGATTAAAAATAAAATAAAATAAAATCTAAATAGTATGCCCATATTTGGTGAGGGATTAAAATTAATTTTTCAGTAGATTATGATAAAAGTTGATAAAATATATGGTTGAAAAGTTGTCTGTTCCATAAAATGTGTGATTAAAATTAATTATTGATTTTGACTTAAATTAAAATCTGAATTTTTAATCTGTATCAAATAGAGGCTACATGTCAATGAATAGAGTTAAGCCCACGTTTGACAATCATTATTTGAGAATTCATTTTTCTATATACTCATTTTCAATTACGCATTCACACAATAAAATATTTTGCACGTAAATTGAAAAAAATCTACTTTTTAACTATATATTCTCATAAAAATTATTATTTAAAATATTGTTTTGGCCAAATAATGACCATCAAACAAGGGCTAAATATGGGAGAGAATTTTTTATGTGATTTTCTTTTTTGAAAAATATATGGTTTAAAAAGTTTTTAAAAAATGTTATAAATTAATAATAATTTTATAAAAAAGGATATTAATGCTAAAAATTTAAACCCACATAAATAAACAATTTCAAACTCATGTTGAGACATTTAGCCCTTGTTTGAAAACCTTTAAATTAGAACTATTTTTTTCTATATATTAAATTTTAATCATACATTTACACAATAAAATATTTTATATGTAAATTTAAAATTTTTTCATACTTTTTAATCATATATTCTCTAGAAATTTACTATTCAAAATATTATTTTTTGTAAATAATGGCTACCAAATAAGGATTTATTAGCTAGAAGTCACTAGAAGAAACTCTCAAATTATTATACAATTTGGTCTAGTTGAAAAATCTTTTTAATAAAATTAATTAAGTGACAAAAATAAATTCATACAATTGCAGGATTACATTATTATCCACTCAAATAACAGAAGAAGATGGCCCCTTAACTTTTAACCGCCGCCTTCGTTAAATTCTATTTCATTCTTTTGTCTTCTATTTTCAAACACAATTTTTCATAAATAATATTACACGTAAATCGAAAATTTTTCCTTTTTTTTCAATCATTTATTTTACAAAAAAAAAAAGATAAATAAAAAAATATATTCCACTCATTTAGAAATGGTGTCGAAACCTGATTTTCACATTCACCACCAACCTCGTCACCAGTCGAATAATCCCCTCACCAAACACAAATAGACATAGTGTCGATAACGATAATTATAAATTATAATCTAATATAAAATCAAAACCAACTCCTCACGAAACTATAGTGTCTTGATTATATTATTACTTCTTGAAATTGTTTACTATAACCCTACGCATCTTTCCTCAGCTGCTGCAATCTCTGATTTTTTCTTCAACAGTTCAATCAAGAAACATGGCTTCCATTTTCAAGATCCCCTCTTCAAGTATTATTCATTCATCCACTGGTTCTAGGTCCAACAGATCTTCTGACCAGCACAGGTTCTTAGTTGATCTCCGGACCAAAACCGCCTTTGATGTCAGACTTTCATCATCCAAATTGTCCCTGCGCACCGCCTATTCCCCCGGTGTCTCCTTGGTGTAAGTTTATGTACTACATCACTTGCTTCAATTTTTTATTCATTTTCTTGGAGTACCCAAAAAAAAAAAAAAGCAAAAGGGCACAGAGCGCTCTGGGTAGTTCGTTGTTTGTAAAGGGATTTCCCCCTAAAATCTTCTTTTGTCTTAAATTAATTATTTTGAGCTTTGATCTTAGCGGTCTGGTATGGTATTTGCAAGTTTAGTTTAACTGTGATTCTAGGATCTGGAAGATATCTGTTGTAAATTGGCTGTCTTAAGTTTAAAAGTTTGATCTCTCCATCTTTGCTACCAAGTGGAATGATTCAGGGTCTGAATCTGTGAGATTCTGTATTTCCTAGCTGTGGATCTGAACGCGAAATGTAATTTTATTGGAGGCAACTCCCATCATAAGTTAATTATGTTGTTCTACATTTTTGTGGGCTTCAAAACGTTAAAAAATTAAATTTATCTCAAAAATGCTATCTGTGTTACGTTAGTGTTTATTTGTCAAAATTAGAACATAAGATTTTCAATAATATAAGTAATTATCCGAATATGTTGGCGTGTAAACGGCGAAAATGGAAAGTGAACTCGTTATAATTTTGTCAACTGGTAACCAATTGGAGATTACTTTTTCCTTAGTGTCAGATGCTCACAAAGTGATGGAAATGGAAGCACTTTGAAAAGAACAACTCTTCATGATCTTTACGAGAAGCAAGGGCAGAGTCCATGGTATGATAATCTGTGCCGTCCTGTAACTGATCTTATCCCGTTGATTGAAAGTGGAGTCAGAGGTGTAACCAGCAACCCAGCTGTAAGTTATTGTTATTCTTTCCTTGCCCGACTCCTCGGCAATGGCAGTCGCATTTTCTTTTGGGTCATGCAGCCAAGAATGGCAAACATATTGAGCTTATTACTTTACCCATCCTTTTCTTCATGTCCATGGTTCCAATTTTAGAGGCTACAGTTTTTCAGATGTTTCATAGGTTCTATTCACAAATTTAATAATCATTCTTGCAGATTTTCCAGAAGGCAATATCAACTTCAAATGCATACAACGATCAATTCAGGTAATGTTGTTGATATTTCTTTTCAAGGGTTATGTCTTTCTAGTCTCCTGCGCTATCACAGATAGGCAGTTAAGTTTTAAATTTTGACTGTGATTCTCATCTGAGAAAGTTGGCTTGGGATTTATTAATATCCGATAAGAGCTTAAATCTATCTTCAGTTTGTATTTACTATGCCCCAGTTTGAGCCCAATTTTTGGGGAAAATGTGTTCTCAAATGGTGATTTTTTTTTTTTTTTTTGTTTTGGAAAATGTGTGGTTAATAATTGGGAAAAATTTTCGATTTATGAGTAAAAATATTCTATTGGAGAATATATGATTGAAAATGAGCTTTGAAAAAATAAGTTTTTGAAAAAAATGGAGCCCAAACATAGGCTATATGTTCATCATTGATGGATGTAATCTGCAGGGAACTTGTACAAACTGGAAAAGACATTGAAAGTGCATACTGGGAACTTGTGGTGAAGGATATCCAAGATGCCTGTAAACTCTTCGAGTCAATTTATGATCAAACAGATGGCGGTGATGGTTATGTTTCTGTTGAAGTTTCACCTAGACTTGCTGATGATACTGAAGGAACTATAGAGGCTGCAAAATTGCTTCATAAGAAGGTCGATCGTAAAAATGTGTACATAAAAATTCCTGCTACAGCTCCATGCGTCCCTTCCATCAAGGAAGTCATTGCAAATGGAATAAGTGTCAATGTGACGGTGAGTTGATTCTTTCATACTTGTTCAAGTTTAAATTGTCAAGAAATTCCAGATTGTTTGTCTTTCGTGCTATGAAGCTTTTAATATTATTTTTTTCATGTCAAGTTGTATCCACTTGTTTAGTAAGAGTGATCAAGTTTGCTTTGGACAATCAATTAGGAGGATGTTCTTATTTGGAGAATAAATCTGTTTCTATCAAATCATATTGTTGGATGTTTACCGTCTTATCGGGAACTTTTATAAAGCTCGTTTGCTGTTATAAAATACTTTTTATGTATTCTCTCACACAAATAAAAAATTTCTGATTTAATTTTGGACATTTCAAATCCTCATATGACCGAATAAATCCTGCAATAGATTTAATTGTCAGAAGCAGCTAGATTGTGATAATAAAACCTTTGGGGCATCATTGAGTGGGTGATTGAAAGTATCAGCTGTTTTGTCTTTGAGACTGTAACTTTCAAGAACGTGGAATGTTAAATTCTTCTACTAAAATTTCTATTATTTTGGATTCTCTAATGCTTCACAATATGCTTATTAATCGTATTTGACATACTGATATTATTCTATGTACATGTACAGCTCATATTCTCACTTGCTAGATATGAAGCCGTTATCGATGCTTACCTTGATGGTCTTGAGGCGTCCGGGCTGAGTGATCTCTCCCGTGTCACTAGTGTAGCTTCTTTCTTTGTTAGTCGAGTTGACACTCTTGTTGACAAGATGCTTGAGAAAATTGGAACACCTGAAGCTCTGGATATCCGTGGGAAGGTATTAAGGAGATGAAGTCAGGGTCATCTTCTCAATACAAATTAAAAACCCTGCCACCTGTTAATCTGCTGACACTGTCTAACTTTGGTTTACAGGCTGCAATTGCTCAAGCAGCTCTAGCTTATCAGGTCTACCAGAAGAAATTCTCTGGTCCGAGATGGGATGCTTTGGTGAAGAAAGGTGCCAAGAAGCAGAGGCTGCTATGGGCTTCAACTAGTGTCAAGAATCCAGCTTACCCTGACACCCTATATGTGGCTCCTCTAATTGGACCTGACACTGTGAGTTATCTTTTATCTTATCTCAACTTGTGGTAGTTGTAGCCTAAGGGCAGGCGCAATTGTCTTTTTCCGTTGAATTGACTAGAAAAAGGATTAGAATAATGCTATTTGTACATATTGGAGTTACACAATAGTTTACATACAAATAGGTGTCAAAAAGAGATTGATGAAGTTTTTTTATTTTTTATCTTTATTTTGTTGAAATGTTGATCCAATTATACCTTATCACATTATGTGTACGTAAACTATTTTGTACATGAAGCACAACCGAAAGGATTATATACTTACGACCTCTCTTTATATTATAGGTTTCAACTATGCCCGATCAAGCACTCCAAGCATTCATTGACCACGGTTCCGTTGCAAGGACAATTGATTCTAATGTATCGGAAGCCGAGGGCGTCTATAGTGCCCTTGAGAAATTAGGTATCGATTGGAAATTTGTCGGTCAGCAACTTGAGGCTGAAGGCGTGGAGTCTTTCATGAAGAGTTTCGATAGCTTGCTTGACAGTCTGCAAGAGAAGGCGAATTCTCTCAAGCTTGTCAGCCTTTAAGCAGTATAAGTTATCGAGTTTAGTCGAAGGACGAGTTAATAAAGTGATTGGTTTTCCAATCAGAGTTTGCTGTAAAGCCTGTTAGTGAGTGTTCTATTAGAGTGAAATGATGTATGCTTAAGTTCTTGTAATTTTCCTTGGACAATCATGTTGGCATGTTCGTACCAGATATTAACTTGTTTGATAATCCAAGTTTTAAGATTTGTGATGTGAGATTTATGAGTTTTAAGGTATACATATAGATATATTCGTTGATTATTGTTTTTATGTTTAAACATAGTTATTGAACTCGACATGGATGTTGAGCCGGCTGAGTAACTCGGTCACTAATTTATAGTTGGATTGTTGGGTTGATGCTTGTATATTAAACTTTTTAGAAATTATTTATTAAACAATCTAGGATATACATTTTTTTTTTTGGTATAAAAAATGGTTTATTGCTAATTAATAAATAATAAATTTAAACGTGTAGTTTTGTATGTACAAATATTCTGATATTATAAAGATGTTTTCTAAGAGGGTGTTTCACACTCATTTTTATGGAAAAATGAATTTTAGAATAGTAGAATGATGAAAAATGTGAGGAAGAAATGTAAGGAAAAGTTTTTTATTTACGTGTAATATTATTTTTATGACGAATGTGGTTGAAAAAAAGAGAGAAAATGGGAATCAAACTGGGCATGTGTGATTGATACATGTATACGTTTTACGAGAGTTCAGATGATGGAATGGTCTGGCCTAAATCATTTCAATAGAAGTTGAAGATTCAACGGATTCCAATGGAAACTTTTCCTTTGCTTATTGATTTGGTCGAGATATCTCTTTGTTTGACATTGAAATCAGATTCAGATTTGTCTACTTGTCCTCGTATGTTACCAAAAATAATAATAATAATTGAAATATTTCATCAGAGTGAAAAAAGCCTACCGAACCCAACAAGTGAATGCTATGAATGAGCCTTCTTCCCATGAGTGAACGATGCGTCAAACCCGAAGCCATTGCAGGATGAAATCCATGTAGCAAAATCAATAGAAACAACGATATTCAATGAGCCAGAATAAGGAGAGAGATTTCTATGTTGCTGATTTTCAAGACGAGACTATCGACTACTGAGCCAAATCAATTATTTGTTAGTTCAAGTTCAGTCCCATTGCGGACGGATCATGAATGGGATGATCCAATTATAGTGATGCTTAGAGTGGCTATACCTTATTGCGTAGAGGAATATGCTATTCATACATAATACGATGTTCATAACGATGTTCAACTCTCTTGTATGGGAGATCTATTTCGAATAAATTATATTTTATTAGAAATGGATCACCTTCCATGTGAGGGGGTGAACACTGTTATTGACATTTTAATATACATGTAAGCATCATCCTTACAGAAAAAATAAGGGAATAGAATGTGTTCAAAAGAGAGAGGGAAAAAAACTGCAGTGAAACATCTATAAAATAATAATGTTGGGTCTGAGAAAAATTATAATTTTTGAGGGGTTATTAGTTTATGGGAAAATTGCAGCAGTGGTCCATAATCTTTTCATTTTTTGCAAATTTTACCCTAATTTTTATTTTGTGTCAACGAAGGTTCCTAACCTTTCATAAATATGCACCTGAGGTCTATTTGGACGAAGACCATCCAAAACACAGTGAGTTGGCTAGGAAAATTAAGGAATCAACATCTAATAAAACCATCCAAAACACCGTACAAAAAGGTATTAACATTCAATAAAATCGTCGCGGTAGCAGATGCCAAATAGTTCAAAGAATTTTCCTAGTCAGCTGACCATGTTTTGGACGGTTTCCGTCCATATGAATCTCACGTGCATATTTATGAAAGGTTAGGAAACTTCATTGGCACAAAATGAAGATTAGGGTAAAGTCTGTAAAAAACTAAAAGGTTAAGAACCATTGCTGCAATTTTTCTTTAATTTATCGGTTAATGAATATTTCTTAATTTATAGAGTAATTTTTATTTTCACAAGTTGTATTATTATATTTTACCATAATACATGTAGGAAAATTAAAAAAAAAATGAATATGGTGAAAAATTTAACCTTGGTTTGAGCCCCATTCTTTTTATAAGAATGAATTTTTGAATATTATATCGATGAAAAATATGTGGTTAAAAAATAAGTAAAAGTTTTGAATTTACATATAATACTATTTTATTGATAAATGTGTTATTAAAATAATATCAAAACACTATTTAAGAATATAATTTTTTCAAAAATAGGGCTCAAACGGGTCTTAATCTGTAAGCACACAAAAGGCAAACACATACATACATTAAAGAGAAAATATTAATGTTAATGTATTGAATTCAAAGTTTAATATATTGGAAGATTGTTCGTTTAAATTATTTCATGTACACATGTAACATAGTTTTTACGGTCAAATTAAAAGAGTTGAATTGAAAAGAATTTGTTAAATTAAGATTTTGTTAATTTGTATTAGTACGAACTGAATTTAAGTAATTATTACTTTATATATTCGTTGGTGTTAAAGGATCTAAAATAACGAAGTTATTAATTTAATACATTGGCTCAAGTTAGAAGAATTTGATTATTAAATCAAACATTCATTTATCAGTTTTACTGTACAGCAAAATGAGAAGAAAAAGACGAGCATGAAAATGAAAGGTTAGGACTGGGACAGCGAGTTAAACAAAATATGAGGATGATATCTTTCCAAGAATGTATCACTGTTCTGCTAATACCCCCTTCATTTCAATGGATTAGAAACCTTTTTCTGTCTCTGTGAATGTTTATGGCGTCAATTTCAGCCGTTGGATCGTTTCCTAAACGTTTATCATCAAACCCTGTTGCCGTTTGTCCTCCTTCTCCTTCATCTTCATGTCTACGTATTATTTGTGGAAGTTCCATAGACCCATCAACCTCATTTGGTTAGTATGGGTCTCTTTTCTTCTTCAATCTTCCATAAGTTTTCGTTATTGATTACTATTGGGAGTTCATTTTATTTTGTTGCCTTATTGAAGAGGCAGGTGGAAGATTGGAGCAGAGCCCCCTAATTGATAGAAGACAAGTTGTAATGTCGTCTATTGCATTCTTAGCTGTGGAAAATTTCAATTCTCGAAGGAGTGAAGCTTCTTCTGCACCTGAATTCGCTGATAGTAATTTCCATTGCTTCTCTTTTTTTAACCAGTTTCCTGTTAATGCCTTCCACCTTCTCCTTGTCTGATTTTCTCTTCGGAAGCAAGGAAATACTGAGTGCAGGAATCTGCGATTCATGTTTTTTTGTTGCACTAGCTCCTTAGGGCCATGTAGAGTGCCTCTATACAAGAAGTTCCCTTCACTGCTGTTTAGAATTTCTTGCAAGATTTGTGCATTAAATTGTAGCATTCTCTATTGATATAGTAAGGATCATATTGAGGACTTGAGGTGGAGAAATCCACAACAAATTTACTACTAAGATAGTATGCAAATTAATATTCTTGATAATATATTAAGCACATTGAGTATATGCAACTAAACCATTCCGTATTATCAATTATTTTGTTCTATTAGATGTGAAATAACATGTTTTATTGAACTTCACCAATATTTTGCGTTCCTACTCAGTGTCTATGGTTAATAAATAACCAAATTATTGGTATTTTTCGAATCCTTGTCAATTACCCTATTTCTATTACTCTATTCCTGTTAAGTTTCTTGGACACTATTTTTTTTATTTATTATTATTTTTTTTAATGTAGGATTTCTTTATGTAGAAATAGCATCTAGGCAGACCAAGTTGATGGATAGGGGCATTCAATAAGGTTTTAAAAGCCATAAGAGAGTTGATATACTCTACTACCAAACAAAGAGAAGAAACGGGGGTGGGGGGTTAATCAGCAGAAATACTAAAATAAGTGAGAAAATTGAATATTTCACGAACTAATGTAGAGAAGCAGGTTGAATGGTCTAAATATCTGGATGCCTTGTTCCAAGTTCTTTTTGTAATTTACTTTTTACATATTTTATTCTTATGACGGTGGACCTGATAAAAGATTTATGTTCTTTGAATAATTATCTTAATATTATGTGCAGCATAGTAGATTTGAAGACTAACTGTCAGCTCACTGTTTGAGCATACAGTGCCGGCATTGAGGGGAAAGGATTATGGCAAGACAAAGATGCGGTATCCTGATTATATAGAAACAAATTCAGGTCTCCAGTATAAGGTTCACCTGTTTGGAAGCATACCTGTGGAATTTTCTTTTATTTCTTCCTTCTTCATATCATTGAGTTCTAACTCCAAATTTGCAAGGAGTGCAGGACTTGCGAGCAGGAAATGGCCCCTCTCCAAAAATTGGAGAGACAGTAGTGGTAAGCCTAACATTATGCATACAATAGGTTTTATAATCGAGCAATTTTTGTGTTTACAATTACCAACTTTTAAAATCAAATGTATGCTATAACGGAGAGGATGTATTAAGTAATTTGGAGAAGTCTTGAAGGGTTTCTTCTTGATTATCATACTAGCAGATTGTTTATGACTTCATTTCACAGAGGATAAATGATCCCCTCATATTAACCTAATCCAATTAGAATCATTGTTAATTTATAATTCTCTGACCATCTGGGAATTCATCTGATATGATTCCAGTTGCTACATTTAGCATAGTTGGTTCATAATTTGAGGTTTTTGTATGAGTTAGTGGACTGTGAAAATTATTCTTAGGGAAAGGAGTGGTCATTGAACATTGCACTGATAAGAGAGAGTGGAGTTATCTTTATTTTACACATATTATGTACCGGTTCAGAAATTTTTTGACTTAGTTCCATGCATTGAATGCATTTTAGGTTGATTGGGATGGCTATACTATAGGATATTATGGCCGCATATTTGAAGCTCGAAACAAGACAAAGGGTGGATCTTTTGAGGTAATCCCTTTTATCCATGTTGTATAGAGAATGCAATTCTATGTTTGACCTATTTATTGCTTTTTATTGATATGCAGGGGGATGATAAAGACTTCTTCAAATTCAGATTAGGATCACAAGAGGTGAGAAATGAATCATCACTAAGATTTGAATTATCACGGCAGTTCTGGTAGGATTGGATTTTTACTGTGTTTGTTCTGCTCCAGCAATTCATCCTTGCAGGTTGCTCTTTTGCACTTGTGGTCCATAAATTCATACTTTTCTTCATTCGTTTAAAAATATATAATTCGTTTCTTGTACCATGATGCATTAAAAAGATATAGTTGAGATTTGAAGACATACTGTTGACATCAAATACATATCAAGTAGTAATTTAGAATAAATGACAAATTTGACTTTCAGTTGGAAATTGCTTCTAAGTTGTTTTCCAAAACTACAAGAATGAGATATTCAGCTTCCATAAAAAGTAAACTAGTCTCTGTTTTATAATTATTTCTTTGTCTTGGCCTCATTATCTCTGGTGCAACATAGATAGGGCATTGACTGTTACTGAAATGTAATTTGTACGTTTAGAAAGGTTTATGTTGGTATTCTTGATTTGTTGGAATCTTCAGGTCATCCCTGCATTTGAGGAAGCTGTATCAGGCATGGCTCTTGGAGGAATCAGAAGGTGCTATCTCACTCAACCTTCCTTTCAACCCCACCCTAAGAAAAGAACCTAAAATAAATTTAAATATAAATCACATTCCCTTCTACACTTTATACAACTTTTCTCACAAAATAAGTGGATTTTCTCCAATTTAACCTCTGAGAGGGTCTTGAGTTTGCAAGGTCTGATTGCAAAGCAAATGGGAATAAGTTGTATCGAGTATAGTTGTTTGAGATGCAGATGTTATTTCATTCTATATATGTCTTCCAATTGTTTTGGTAGAATTATTTGTCTTACCAAGTTGCATTTTTGCTTTATCACATAGCTTGGTGGATGTTTCTTAAGAAACCATGCTAAAATTTTTGGATATTAGTGATCTTGACAATAAAGTGTCTAAAATATATATTGGTTGCAATAATTTATTTATTTGGCTCGGTGTCAATGGAGAATGGACTATAGAATCAGGATCCAAGATGGAATATCTAACTGTGACATAGTGAATCTACATACACTACTTTACATTTTTCTGGCATAATGCAGGATCGTAGTTCCCCCAGAATTGGGATATCCTGAGAATGACTTCAACAAGAAAGGTCCCAGGCCAACAACATTTTCGGTACTCCTCATACTCCATACAGTTATTTGATTTAAACATTATCCTTTTATACTGAAAATGTTCTTATTTGAGTTTGCATAGGGTCAAAGAGCCTTGGATTTTGTTCTGAGAAACCAAGGATTGATCGACAAAACTCTCTTGTTCGATATTGAACTCCTGAAAATCGTCTCAAGTTGAACTTAAATCTTCATTACTTGCAATTGTCAATTATTGTTAAATCGTCTCAAGTTGAACTTAAATCTTCATTACTTGCAATTGTCAATTATTGTTTTTCCGATGGTGACAGATTAATACAATTTGTGTACGTTTTCCTTTCTTCATTGTTGAGAGATTGTGATGTCAAATTGTTAAATTGTTCATATTTGAAAAATACGAACACAGCATTCCGCTGAAATTCTTTTAGGGCCTGTTTGATACCCTCCATTTTCCATGGAAAATGGAAAATGTGTCATTTAATGACCAAAATTTTCCATGGAATTGTTTTTCTACCCTACCCCCCCACCCCATGTGACCTATTTTCTTGCTTTTTAAAGAAGATCAATTCCTTTGGTTTTGGTGAGAATTGAGTTTTCCATCTTCTTCTTCTTCTTTTTATTATTATTTATTTATTATTATTATTATTATTATTATTATTATTTTGCAATGGAAACAAATTCTATTTACAATTATAACAAATTCTATCACTTTAATTGACAATTTTCATAAAAAACAAAACTAAAGGAATGTCAAAAGATCCAAAATTTAAACATTTTTCAGGTGAAAAATTATATCAATCAAAAACATTTAATTGACATTTTCAATAAAACAAGCTCTAAGCAATTTAATTTTCTAAAATTCATTTTCTTTTCACTCACATTTGATTCTTGCAATCACATAAACCCTTAATTCTTTCCACATTATCGGATTTATGGTTGACCAACCAAGGGATGTCTTACGTACATTTCCTTTCCCCTGTCACTGAACCAATGGCCAAGGACGTATAATGCTCCTTAATCCTTGATAGTTGCCAAATTCCTAACAATGGGCACACATTTCAATTTTAGATAAAGCAATGATTAATGATACAACTGAATTATCAATCATCGTTATAATTGCAATCAAGTAAACTGATTATCATTCATAAAAGCCTGGTTCACAAACATGATTACTAAACATAAACAGATTAAATTATTAGCTAAGATAGTCTTCATGTAGCAAGAAGTCCAAAACCTTAGAGAGGACCGATGATAAAGGAGCAATGACAGAATTCAGCACATCTAAGAGAAGAAAATTTAAACTACACAAGGGCAAACCAGCTGACCAGCTATAGGGATCTTTTAGCAGAGTTATTTAATTAGTTAAGGGGAAGCTCTCGGCGCTTGTACCGCACCATGACTTTTCCTTTAACACCCACAACCATGGCATTCCAGTCGATCTCTGGAAAAGGTGAAATCAGCTCCATCTCAAAATTCCTTACCAAATGGCTCCAGATTGCTTTTATTTGCAGATATGCAAATGGCTCTCCTAGGCAACCATGTCTTCCACCACCAAAGGATATATAGGAGAAAGCCCCAGCCACCTTGTCCTCATCTCTACTAGGAGCAAACCTATCAGGGTCATATTTATCTGGATTTTTGTAAATGTGTGGGAGTCGATTTGCAAAAGCAGGTGATGCGGCCACAATATGTCCCTTGGGAATGTCGTATTCTACGCCTTCCTGAGTTTTCACGCTGAAATCTGAATGTGAGCTACGCAGAAGCATTATCAAAGGAGGGTGGAGTCTCAGAGCTTCTTTTATGCATCGATGAAGGACTTCCATCTCCGACAAAATATCATGGTCGACCTTGTTTCCATGCTTTTGTGTCAAATTCTTCTGCTCCTCTAACACCGCTGACATGTATGTTGGGTTGCAGAGGAGATATGCCCCCGTCCAGGTGGAAGTAATGGAACTTGTGTGCTGGCCAGCAAAAAGAGCAGCAATGAGCAGGCCGGTGACTTCTGACTCAGTTGTTTGGCGTCCATCTTTGTACTTGGATTCTATGAAACATTGTAGCATATCATTCTCTGTCTTGCCAGTTTGTTTACGAGAAGCTATGATGTTGGTAAAAATTTGAGCAAGTCTTTTGCGAGCTTGATCACGACGACGGTGTGCTGGGATGGGCAGGTACGGAAATATCACACTGATGGGAAGCATTCCGTTGTCAAGGTCATGGAAAAGAGCAGAAACATCGTCAAAGAGCTTATTGCGAACCTCTTCACCTAACAGACATCTGCTGGCTGTCAGTATGATTAGATGCTCCAATTCGTACTTTAAGTCCACTTCACCACAGTTTCCCCATTTGGAGAAGTACTCCTGCACAAATTATAACAAATGGAGAATATGTTACTCTTTAACATTTCAACAAAATAAGTAATTTAAAAGGTAATTAAATCAGAAACATCAGATTAAACCATAATACTATTTCTTCATAGAAACTACAGGGACATATATGAGATATTAGGAGTTCACCCAGTGGTTATGTTGTACAGGTAGTCACATGTTAAAGTCCCGAGGAAGAGGGAATTGGCAACTAGGATGTGGGCTGTGGGTGCCATTTGACAGCTTATCAGCTCATAGGATCCAAGAAAATGAGTATAGTGATTTGTCGCGGTATTCTACATCACACGACAACTATTTGCAGATTCCTTACAAGGTAATAGTTGAGCTACTGGCTGGCGTGCAAACCATTCTTAACCCCTTTTTTAACAACCATTAGAAAGAGGCTTTGGGGAAAGTGAGTTTTGGAATAGTGATTTTTTGGAGAATATATGGTTAAAAAGTATAAAAAATCTTGGGTTTATGTGCAAAATATTTATTGTGAGAATGTGTTGTTGAAAATAAGTTTGAGAAAAGAAGCGTTTTGCTTTAATGGTTGTCAAACACGGCCTTAATGTGATCAGCAAAGCCCACCCCCACCTTCTCTCTCAACCATTTTCTTCTGTAAGTAAGCTAACAAGATTGCTCGACCGAATCACTCAAGTACCATCTATCCCACAGAAAAATGCTGAAAGATTAACCAAAGAACGGAATTCTCAAAATAATCAAATAATAATGAAGAATTTAATTTGTTTTAAGGGTAGAATGTATTAAGAGGCCTATGTGCTCGACCGAACCACTCAAGTACCATATATCCATAAAAAAATACTGAGAGACTAAACAAAGAATCTATTAATAATGAAGAATTTAATTTGTTGGAAGGAAGGAATGCCTATAATTGGACTTCAATCAGATACCCAAATATCATAAGCACCTTAAAAGTCCAACCCTTCTCAACAGATTGCATTAAATAAGTGAAATTCTAGGACCATACGCATATTTCACTGGAGAAATAAAAATACCTATTTCCACTCAGAATCAGAACTCCATGAGAAATTGAACAAAAATCTTAGTTTCAAGTTGTAGAATCTATGTTGAATCACTGGTAATTGCATTGAAATGCCAGAAAAATCACAGTAAGAAGTCAAAAGAAGCTATTGTGATATTATAATCGGGGTAATAATTTCGAAGAAATACATATTCAAGAACAAAAAACTTAAGATGTATCAAGAGAACAAAACTTAGATTATTCTTTGAAAATTGACAATCGGATAATTGCAACCGAATGTATGTGTATATTGGAGTAGATCATTATATCTAAGCTTTCTTTTTCCTCTTAGGGATGTGTTTCTCTACATGAGAATATGTAGTGAAGACAATTTGCGACAAAAACAAGCTTAAATGCATTGCATTTTGTTAATGTGCAACTTTTTCTGATCATCAGCAGCAGGTTTGATCTCAACTTTGACAGTAAGTAAAAAGCATGATATTCAGAATTTAGATGCATCATTCCAGATCTTCATATATACAAACTCAGTACCTTTCCACATGCATTCAAAGAGTTGATAAAAGTAGAATTAAATGAAGAATAATTGAGAATACCTCAGCTTCCATGACCATCTGGTCCACATAACCTTTGAGTTTATTAACTCTCAGGGCCTCAGTGAAAAACCTGAATTGTTCCTGCCTAATGGAATAATCCACATCAAACACTACCCCAGGTCCAAAGGTGGGCACATTGAATTGGTACACCTCCTGCTGGCTGAGATCGGACTCCGGCGCCTTGAAGAAATGCGCCGATACTTCTGGACCAATCAAGAAAGTGATATTCTTGTTCAGTAATTTCAGAGTGAACACGCTACCAAGCTTTGGGTATTCCTCCCTCAGCATCACCACTGGCCCCTTCAAGAATCGCAGCAGCCCACCGAGAACCGGCCAAGAATTAACTACCGGCGGTAGTCGTTTCTTGGATCTGGGCATTATTAATGCTGAAATCAGTTTTGCCGCCAACAGAGTGGCCACTAGTAAGAGACCCACATTCCAGATTTTGTTGTTGTTAGTCGATTCCACTTCCATTGTTACTGGAAATCCAATCCAATGTTCTACGAGTTCAAGAAAACACGAAATAATTGTTGAAACTTTATAGACCATGCACAAAAAATGAAAAAGGGAACTACACTAAAATTTCATATCTAAATCAGATTTTGGAATTAACAAAATGCAAGAAAGACTTCTTCTTTTTTTTCCTTACTTTTTCTTGTAACAATACATTCAATGGAATTTACATCAATAACAATAAATTGAAGGAAAAATCAAGAGTGTTTTGATAGGGTTTAAAGAGAGAGTGACAAGTACATACCTGTTTTGGTGAGGATTCGTGAGGACTAGTCAGTATAAGGGAAAGTGGGATTAGGTATAGGATTAAGCAATAGTGTTCACACAAATTGTACACTTTGATTGACACTAATGATTGACACTAATTGAAGAAAAAATCAAGGATGTTTTGACCGGGTTTAAAAAGGGGTAATTTTTACGGAGGTCGGAAAATTCTTCCTATTTTTCACAATGGTCTCTTTTGTTAAAAATACTATTTTGCCCTTACTAAAGTTATTTACAAGATGTATATTATATCTTTAAAGTTTTATCAATCAGGACCTATATCTATATTTTTTAATCTTTCGAACACCTTTAAATATTCTTTGTATCTGGATAATTCTTCAAAGATTATAGGTTGGCCTTTCTTGGTTATATATCCTGGAACTAATCCTTCTGAAATTTCTTCTTGTATATTTCTATGTTTGGTTATGATATCTTCTACCTTTCTTATTTCTCTATTAGTTTCTACAGAATCAAATCTTATATTATTTCTACAATTATAATCTATATCTCTATATATTTTTTCAATTTTTTATTTCCCAACAGGAAATATATCATCAGATTTTTCGTCTAATTTAAGTAAAAACAAAACATCTTTTTCATCTAAAAATAATATGAGATTATTATCATTAGTGGATGTGGATGCTTATAAATTGTTCATCAGAATAATTAAAACATGAGCATGTAAAAATAAGTAAATAACTTACAGTAATCAAGTGAAAATAAACATGCTTTCCCTCCAGTATACTCTTATAGATGCTTTGCATGTACTTAATCAATCTTCTGAATCAAGTAAAGATTTAAAATGTTTTTGAAATCATTTTGGTCCACAACTGCTTCCGCAAAAGGTTTTTCAATTAAGGTTGCATTTTTCACTCTAGAGAACTAGCCGTGTTGCCACAGACGCTATCTCACAGTATCCAGAGTCTCTGTTTTCACCTCTATCCAAACTCTTTTCAGAATAAATTCTTACTTGGAGCGAAATTTTAAAAGATAACTCACACAAAAGGTATTACAAATTTTTGTTAGAAAACTGCCTTTTTCCCCTAAACCATTCATCAAGACGGGTACCTTGGCATGGCTAACATCCATTCAAAATCAAAGTTTTGAAAATCTTTTAAAATCTCTATCTGTACTGCTGATAAATCATGAGAAATTTAACGAAATCCTTTTATGAAAGCTTTGTTGAACATAACAATCTTTACTTTGATATTCATAAACTGAAATTGTACATGCTTACAAATTATATTTACATACATTTAGTACTCACCTTATGAAGTTTAGAACTCCATAAGTGATTACCTTATTACACGCTTTACTATTTTCAAGCTATCTAATATTTTTCTGAATACAAGTGGTGTATACAGATTACGAAAGATCTATCTAAGATGTGTTTCATCTAAGTGTTTTAGAGATAAGTTAGTTCAAGATATCTTCCTTCTTCCTCCTTACCTCCTTTTATAGAAGCCTTTGGAAATCTTTTCTTGACAGGTGTTTTTCACTTTTCTTTGTTAGGTAGCTAGACCATCTTATCTCCACCGAATTTTTCCCTTATCTTCTTGCTAGTGGACCTCTCCTTTTGAAATTAGATACCTTATTTTTTGAGTTTGTCTGCCACTTGTAACAATTGGGTAGTCACAATTATAGAGACTTTTCTTATATTATCTTCTGTCTTTTAGTAACCACAGTTTTTCTTTAATAAATTTCTTTATTAAAGTAGTGATAAAGGGCTACTTTTGTCACCATTTCATTTTCGAATCAATTCTGAAGGGAATTCTTCACTATTAAGAGATGCTTGGCTCATATCTTCAACTACACAGTATTCACAATGGTGATCACTATAATTTCAGAGTAATTTGCATAGTTCTTTAGTCATATCTTCTGATCCATGCACTTGGTTGGAAATAATTGCAGATAATAAATGGTTGAGATAACAAATATCTTCTTCTTTGGTAGCCATCATTGCATTGGAATAGATAATATGATCTTCAGATGGATAAACCCATATTTTTTCTTTCTCAGTAATTATCTGAGTTACATGTTCAAATATCTCTTTGTACCCTTTTGCTCTTTTGTAGGGCATCATATTTAGAATATCTTGATATCCATTTTTAACAACTTTTTGATTGGTTGGTAAAAAATGTTGATTTGTAAGTCCCATTTTTATCACATGGAACAATGGATGCATATATTCAAGAACGGGATCCCATTCCATGGTTGCTGAATGAAATCTGATATATATATTCGTTGTTTTGACGACTTCAATATATTTTTTTAACAGCTTTCCTAATGAGATCTTTGCTAGGATATATACAAAGTATATTTCCTATCTCAAAACAATTTCGAACCCAGTTGGCTGGTGCTCCTGGATAAAAATTTATCTTGTTGTATTTTGAATAATGGAGAGTTTTCATCCATTTTCCAATCTCCAGATGCCAATCTGATAAAATATTAAAAATAATAATAAAGAGTGTTACTTCTTCATGATTATCTTTTCTGGGAATTTTTGTTTCATGGCATATCTTGACAATATCTTTTGGATCTAGCCTTTCAATAGAAAGTTTAGATTGAGTTTGACTCTGTGAAGAGCTACCTTCTTTTTTGATATCTTGAATATCTTTATTACCAGTAATAGGTTCAAGTTTTCCCTGTAAAAGAGTTCTTATTACCTTCTTTTCTTTCCCTTTATTCTCGGGAGAGCGCTATTATTCACAAGTCCCTGCGAAGGGATTCTAGACTTGGTACAAGTAACTTCTGCTTCAAAGGTTATATTTTTGCCTCGAAGGCTATCTTGGATATTTTGAATTTGTGTTTCTAAATAGGAAACTTTTATCTCAAGTATTTGGACTTTCGTCCTTAATTGTTCCAGCTCCATCCTTGCTAAGATAATCAGGAAGAAAGTTAGTTTTACCTTTTATGTATTCAATATCAAATTTGAAATATGAAAACCAAATTTGTATCCTAATAATATATCTATTGGTAATAGATGGATCAACATTATTTTTCAAAAATGCTTTAACTTGAGTATTATCAGTTCTAATCAAGAACTTTTTTGGTAATAGATAATCTTCATATTTCTGAACTCCTCTTTTCACAACAATGAGTTCTTTTCTATTCGTCTCATATTTTGTCTCTACTTCTTTGAATGTTCCTGATATATAACCTGCAAGTATCTCAGGACAAGAACAATCTTTTTCACATTTATATTCTTTATGATTCTTTTTAACCTTTAACACTGCTTCCCAGTAATTATCTGAAACATCAGTTTCAAGGATAAAGAAATCTTCTTCTTGTAGTATTACAAGTTTGGGCAATACCTTTAACTCTTCTTTAACTTTCCTTATATTTTCACAATCTTGCTCTTCCCAAGACCACATAATATTTTTTCTCAACTTTGGAAGAAAATAATTTTTTAATTCGGCATAATTTTCAATGAATCCTTCAACATAATTTAATATACCAAGGAAGCTTTGTAATTATTTTTTATCTTTGATTTCTTCAGGAAATTCTTGAAATTTTTCTCCAATATGAGATTGCAATTGCAATTCTCCTTCTTTTATTAATAATTCTAAAAATTCTATCTTTGTTCTAACTATCTCAGCTTTCTTTTGAGAAAGTGTAATACCATGTTTTTTCGTAATATAATAAAATTTCTCAAAATGTTCAATATGTTCATCAATATTATTTGAATGAATAAGTAAAATCATCTACATATGCAATACAGAAATGAGTAATTGGTTTGATTACCTCATTCATTCTCCTTTGGAATATCTGTGGTGCATTTTTCAACCCAAATGGCATCACATTCCATTCGTATTGTCCTAAAGGATTGGGGGTACTAAATGCAGTTAGTGGTTTACTTTCTTCTGTAAGCATGATTTGTCAAAACCCTGACTTACAATCAAATTTTGAAAATATCTTTTTGTTCTGTACTTGTTTAATAAAGGTGTCCTTATTTGGCAAGTAGTATCCATCAAATTTAGTAACTTCATTTAATTTTTTGTAATTTATCACCATTCTGGTTTTTCCTCTTTTTATTTCACTATGTTTTCTAACCATAAAGGCTGGGCTGCTATGTGGACTTTTACTAGGCCTAATTAGCTTGGCTTCTAGCAATTCTTTTATCTGGTCTTTAAATTCTTTTTGGTCATCAACACTATATTTCATAGGTTTGACTCTAACAATAGTGTCTGGATTAGTTAATTCTATCTTTGCCTTTATTTTATCAGTATTCCATTTTTCTAAAGGATATTCTGAATATGTTTTAGAAATTTCTTTTTTTAATTTTTCTAATCTATTTTTTGTTGTCATTTTTAAGACTGTAACTGGTTTAAATTTTTCTGTACTCCAACATCCACCACGCTGGGTTGAGGAACTCTGATGGTTTATATCTGTATATGTTATTGTAACAGTTTATTTATTTTTTGTGTAAATATTTTATGTGCACAAGGTGTTGTGAACATATACTTATCAATATATTGTGTAAATGGTGCATATTTTAATAGGAAATTTTGTCCTAATAAAATATAACATGCAATTGTGATTGACATGTATATTGTATCAACAAATACTTCTCTAAAGGAAATTAGAAAGGGTACTTGAGTAGCATATTTGCTATATATTACCTTATTTCCACCTGCTGTTGTAGCGGTGACAATCTTTTTTGAACTGTATTTCCAGTATTAATACATTTGGTAAGCATAAGCTTATTGTACTTCTTGTATCTAAGTAAGCATGAAATTTAATTCTACAATAACTTTTTATATTAAATGTAATTTCAATAGATGGACTCATGGGTTTAGTACTTATTACTCTTTCCATGATAACAATGATTTCATATTTTCATCTATTCTTGATATGATGATTGGATTATCATCAACTGTTATTTTTAAATATCCTTGGCAAATTTTATAAGAACTATATTTCTCAAAAAAGTTCATTCCTAATAGAATAGGTGAACAATCTAC